TAACTAAATAGGGATTTTGGTGTGAGTTTAATCCAACCCAATCAGCGTCTTATCTGACATAACGGATGGATGTTGTTCGTGCGTGAGGGAGGATTATTTTTCAAGTCTCACCGTCACCAACACACACCTGAGCCGTGAGGACCATTATCTTCCGATGGTGTCTCTTGTTCCTCTCATTCTCTGTCTTTCCTCTCGTTCTAATTCTCGTTTTTTTTTCCTCCTTCTCTTTTCACTATTTTGTTTAAGTCGAGTCTAAATGAGGGTCTTCGTTTGACACTTTTGTTAATTTAAGGTTTTTAGGTCTTGCTTTTTAAGGGATTTTCTGAATTGTTGATTTAAGGTCTTGGATTTTTTTTAGGGATTTTCTGACTTTTGTAAAAATAAGGTCTTGTTTTATTTATTTATTTTTTTCTAACTTTGGTTAAATTTAGATACTTGGGCTGTGTGTGTGTGTGTGTGTGTGTGTGTGTGACTCTTTCTGACACTTGTAATTTAGCATCAGGTTAATTAAAGTAAGGTGATATGACACATCTGTTTATCCGATGCTTAAGTTAAAATGTTTCCCTGACAGTTGTTAATTTCAACCTCTTTATTTGGAATTGTTTTTCCTCGTTCTTTTTTTTCCTTGCGAACGTGACTTTCCTCCCGTCTTGTGATACTTTATCTCCGCCTGTGTGTGGGGAGGGGGAGAGGGGAATGGGAGAGTAAGGGTGAGGGGATGGGAGAGGAGGGGATGGGAGAGAAAGGGGGAGGTTGACCAATTTTTGTTGTTAGCGTGGCGTAGCTGCACCTGCGTCGTATATATTTCACCCTAACAGTGACATCGTTCTTCTTGCTGTACCCTTTCCCTGGGCGAGTCTCACACCACCTCAGGTTAAGTGGGCCATATTTTGCTGCTACTCCTCTATCTCTCTCTCTCTCTCTCTCTCTCTCTCTCTCTCTCTCTCTCTCTCTTCTTCCTCCTCTATTGGGTGGTGCTGTGAGGTACCGACACTGCTAGCTCCCACGCCCCCCCCTCCCCTACTTCCTCTCCCCCGCCGCCTAATCACAACATTAAACTGCTCCATTAACATCCCCCCCTTGTTAGATTTCAGAGATATTTAGTTCAGTTTTAGCATCACTCGGGTCTAGGGAGGGAGGGGGGGGGGGTATTAAAAACAACAACAGCAGCAATAACAACAACAACACGTAAAACGGATGCGGACAACTTGCACTGTGTATTAAGCTCACAACACATGAATTAAAATGCATCTCTTGTATGTCGTGACCTCACACCACGGCACAATCCCAACAATAAGATAGGATACCAGTAACTGTCATGTGTCCTTTGCTCACACTATAGAAACAATCCAAAAGAAAACCAGTAACTATTGTGTGTGTGTCGAAAGCTCAGCTCACAAAGAAGACCCAACACTTAACGGGTGACGCCAGTAGCTGTGGTATGTCGTAAACACACACCACACTAACACTGAAGAAAAACACCAGTAGCTGTGGGGTGTGGTCAGCTCACATCACGATTGTCTTTAAAAATTCACACAAATGTTTCAGCAGCTGTTGCCTATTACCGAGATCTGGTGTCTGGGGGTGAGGGTGGGGGGTGAGGGGGGTGAGGGGGGGTGGAGGTGAGGGTGGGGGTGAGGGTGAGGGGGTGAGAGGGAGGGTGAGGTGGGGGAGGTGAGGGAGGGTGAGGGAGGGTGAGGTGGGGTGGGGTGAGGTGGGGTAGGGGTGAGGTGGGGGAGGGTGTGTGAGGAGGGGGTGACTGTGTGAGGAGGGGGAGTGACTGTGTGAGGGATGAACTGTTCTTAGTTGCTGTCGATGATGTGATGTGGCTCTGTCTGTAAGTTCGTCATGCTTATGTAGATCAGGCCATAATGTTTATCTGTTCGTCTGTTTGTCACGCTTTTATGTCTGTCATGTCTGATGATTTGTCATACATGTCTACAGGTCTGTTATTGTCATGTATGTCTGTCTATCACGTTTATCAGTCTCCCTCATAGTTCTTCTCTCTATAGCTTCATATTCTTAATTGCTATTCACACTCTCCTCTATGCCTCTGATTCTTCCTCTTCTTCCCCAAGTCGCGTTTCCTCTCTCTCCTCCCTCACTTCCCCCTACGGTTCTCTTAGTATTTTTTCCTTCGCTCTACTTTCCCTATTCTCTCTCTCTCTCTCTCTCTCTGTCTCTCTCTCTCTCTCTCTCTCTCTCCCTTTATCCACCAAACTCCCACACAAAAACAAAACACTTATGTGGAAACCAAAATACATATCAAACCGCTTACCCAATGAAAGGCACACACACACACACACACACACACACACACACACACACACACACACACACGATTAAAATATACATGTTTCCAAATTTATCTGTAAATTTTGATTTTTATGTAATATAGGTGACAGGGTACATGTGAGGGTACCTGTGTGTGTGGGGAGTAGGTTAGATGGGTGGGTGTGGTAGGTTAGATGGGTGGGTGTGGCTGGGTGTGTGTGGGTGTGGTAGGTTGGCTGGGTGTGTGTGGCTGGGTGTGTGGGTGTGTGTGTGGGAGGGGGGGTGTGTGGTTGTATCAACAATTATCACTGCCACCCGCAAAATCTGGTCCACGCGTGACATGTTTGTAAAATTCCTTGACCAGCCAGTGTGGGGTGCAAATTGCTTCTATTCAGCTCAAAGTGCTAATTTGACGCCGTTCTGTTCTCATTGGAAGGGATTCGCGATATATATATATATATATATATATATATATATATATATATATATATATATATATATATATATATATATATATATATATATATATATATAAACACCCACAACGTATCCTTGAACTTAAGTCCTTTCTTTTCCCTTCAAGTTAATGGATAATTAAGACCACAGGGAGATATTAAGTGAACCTCTAAAAGGAGGGAAAAACACCTCAGGTGCTTCCCTAGATGAGTGACACTTAAGGTAGAGTGGGCGATTTCCCTCGGAGAATTACCCTCGTCTCCACCCTTCTCTCTCTCTCTTTCTTTCTCTCTTTTCCAGCATGTTACTGCCCTGGGGATGATATCATGCAGGAGAGGAGTGACGGGGTGTTATCGTCTCATCTTGGGTCGAGTCATCTCCCGTATTAACATAATTATTTGAAGTTAGAATCTCTAGTGCTATCAGACCAGTTATTACCACCGTGCGTGATAAGAAGTTAATGTAAAACTTGTAAGGCAGTAAGACAGAAAGGTTTGTAGTCTCTGTCAGAGTTACATGAGACCGTGCGTGAGACCACAACACACACCGGGTCCAGATAAACATTCCCCGTAAATGAAATCATGATGATTCACCTAAATATCTGCAATATATATATATATATATACATATATAAAAAATTACACCAAATAATAACAGCCATGCACCGAGACACCGCCTTAGCCAACTACGTTCACACATTATCATAAACAATTTAGGTGGAAAATATTTTGAAAAAGATTTAATACTTCAGGTTGTGTCACCAGTGTTATAAGACTGTTAGGTGGGCGCCTTTGTCTTTACTCACCAACATTATTCACCGAACCAACTTAAGAGAATCTTGACCCTGAAGGAACAAGTCACAGTTTGTCTTGTATACAATTTATGTTTCTTTGTTGATCCAAACTTATGCCGAGAGAGATTTACGTCATACAGAGACTTGTGTTTAAGATAAATAAACTTGGCACTGCAGCTCAATAAAGTTCCCGGCCGCGTCAAAGCAACGAGAAAAATTTTGATAATCGAACCTGTCTGACATCTTGTAAAATGGACAAAGCCTTCACCTCCTGCCCCAAACTACCACCAGTTGAGTCCCGCGGCCGGTCACCGGGGGGGGGGGGTTTGTTCCAGTCGACTCAGTTGAATATTGTATTTATGACAGGCGATAGTGTACAGTAGTGGACACACTGTCTATTATGTACACGGCCCCTGAAGCCAACATGACTCACTCCCTGACGAACACACAATTAGCACAAGTTAATATCATAATCTTGAATTCTTGATAACGGCACAATACATCACCGAGACTCTAAAATATCAACAAATCAAGTATGAAGGTCGACAATATTACTCTTTGTAATCACTGAGTTACTGGTGACCGGCCTCTGAGTCAGTGATCAGTCGGTGACTCTGGGCAAACAGGAGGAGGTTAATCAATGCTTCTTGCCTCTGACTCACTGGCTTTTAGCTGTGTCACTCGTCGATTACCTTGTGGCAGGTTCACTCTAGACGTCACTGACCAGATAAGACACTCACCTCCGGAAATATTCCCACACCATTAGCAGTGAGTCATTATCACGTCGATCGTGGCACTGTGACGAGACCATATACGATACTCTGCCTCCCTCCCTCATTGCCGGGCCACCCACTGCCAGGTTTGTGTACCACCGAGTCCCGGGGCACCTCACCCCACCCCTCGCTGTTCGTTCTGGAACCAAGTTTCCCGCGAAGTACCTTATCAACCATTAGAGCAACTCGGGTCAACTATAACAGCCTGGTTGATCAGGAATCTTTTGAGGAAACTTAAATTTTCCCCTGAAGACCTTCAATGGTGTCCCTGGGAGGTTGAATTGATTTGCTGGTAACGTGTCCAAAAATCCAGGACTTCGGATGTTAGCATTATATTCATTCATTATACTCAGCACGCACCTGTTTCTCAGTGAAGTACCTCAGCGTTAACACTATTACACACTATACTCACTAACTGTACTTACGACACCCCCATTACTGAGTCAAGTGCCGAGGGTGTTGCCACAGTGATGTCTGGCTGTACTGACAATAGGTGGCAGCGAGCTGTGTTTGTACCAGGAAACACACACACACACACACACACACACACACACACACACACACACACACACACACACACACACACACACCTGGCTAACTACTTCACTCACAACTTTGCCTCCCTCAACAAGTGTCTCCTGCCAAGATTGAACATGACTTCAACCCTATCCTGGCACCCTGACCTACCTCACTAAACTCACCAGGCTACCTCACCAAGCAACTCTCCAGACTACCCTCACCAAGCAACTCACCAGGCTACTCCACCAAGCAACTCACCAGGCTACACCAAGCAACTCACCAGACTACCTCACCAAGCAACTCACCAGACTACCTCACCAAGCAACTCCAGACTACCTCACCAAGCAACCTCCAGACTACCTCACCAAGCAACCAGACTCCCACCAAGCAACTCACCAGCACTCACCAAGCAACTCACCAGACTACTCCCACCAAGCAACTCACCAGACTACCTCACCAAGCAACTCTCACCACTACCTCACCAAGCAACTCTCCAGACTACCTCACCAAGCAACTCTCCAGACTACCTCACCAAGCAACTCACCAGACTACCTCACCAAGCAACTCACCAGGCTACCTCACCAAGCAACTCTCCAGACTACCTCACCAAGCAACTCTCCCGACACCTTCACCAAGCAACTCTCCCGACACCTTCACCAAGCAACTCTCCCGACACCTTCACCAAGCAACTCTCCCGACGCCTTCACCAAGCAACTCTCCCGACGCCTTCACCAAGCAACTCTCCCGACACCTTCACCAAGCAACTCTCCCGACACCTTCACCAAGCAACTCTCCAGGCACTTTCACCAAGCCGGCCCTGCCTATTGTCTTCCTCGTTAAGCAACTCAAGTCTCGCAATCACCGACTTACGGCGTCATCCTTCACGTTTACGAATCTGTGACGGCACCCAGCAGGCATTAACCTCCCTCCCTCCCTCTTCCTTTCACCCTCCTTCTCTGACTTCTTCACTCACCCTTCCTCCCTCTTTCACCCTCCCTCCATCCCTCAGTCCTTCACCCTCCTTCTCTGATTTCTTCATTCTCCCTTCCTCCCTCTTTCACCCTCCCTTCTTGCTTCACCCTCCACTTATTCTCTCCCATCAATCCTTTGTCTCTCTTTCCTACCCTTCTTCCCCTTTCCTTCTTTCCCCTATCTTTCCTTTAACTTCCTCTCTTCCACCCTCAGTTTCTGCTTCCTTCTTCATTTTGTCTCTGTCCACCTCCCACCACCACCACCACCCCTCATCTCTCTCTCTCACACCTCTTCCCCCCCCCTCCCTGCAACAATTAAGATGGATGGGGAGGCAGAGGGGCTAATGACCAGCAATCTTGACACGCGACTATTTGCATATAACTCTGCAACATGTGCAACACCGACCTCTGTTTACGGTGATTCTGACAATGGGTACTGTAGAATATTTTTTGGGTAGTATTATTCTTAACGAGATATAATTGCAATTTTATTTTGGTTTTATTTCACAGGATTAATGACAACGAGATGAAATAGCAAATTTATTTTATCATATTGTAGTCACTAATGAAATACACTTGAGTAAAATTGTAGATTTATTGTAATTTTTAACGGGATTAGAGAGAGCCAGATGTGAGTGACACCATTTTTTTTTAATGTATTGAAAATATTGAGAGACGGAAATATATATTTTTATTGTACTGTTGATTATGAACATATTGCCGAGGCTCTCACTATTGTTATAAAAACAATCATTTCTTCTATACAAAATGATAAAAGCCATAATTTTTTTTATTTGCAAAAACTAGTAATTAATATACAACAATTATAAATATTAAATATTTTCACGAAATTAAATTCCATATCGACATTTTAAATAAATTTGGGGATAAGATTTTTCTTTACTCCAGATTAGTACAATTTTGGAGAAAAAATATTTGAAGCAATTCATTTTTATGGTGTGTATACAAAGTGACCGTCACATCGTGTTTACAAAGGGAAGGTCGTGACGCTTTAGCCGACGTTTACCTCACGAGAAAAAAATACGTCGTGTTTACCTACAGACGTAATACCGCGCCACTGACATGTACGTCTACCAGGTGAGGAGAAAGACGGAGTAGTGCAGTAATATACACTAGAGATATTAAGAGTAAACAACCAAAAACAAACAAATTATCAGTACCTACAACAAAAACTTCCTGTAGACAGCCGGGAGAGGCACTAGTACCCACACTGGACGACACTTGAGCTAGGTGGCAACTCACACCAGGATACAGGTTGGGGAGTGGCCGCCAACTATAACCTTTGACCTTGAATAGTTTGACCCTAAGATTCTATAGTAATTCAACCTTAAATTTACAATGAACTTTTCCTAGTGTGTTGTAATAACTGCGGTCTATTGTAATGAATGACTTAACTGAATTACACACACACACACACACACACACACACACACACACCTAAAGAAAACAACAATTAGGAACAAAAGCACATCGTGTAATATCGTCACAACACCACGAACATGATAAATACCCCACAATAATATAACACCAAAAAGTTAACATCGTTTTTAACAAGTAACATAAAACTCCTACACAACATTAAAATTATTAACCTACATTATCACAACTACAACAATAATTTTACAGAGAAAAATAAATAATAAAACCTAGTACATAAAATCTACATTCAAAGGTTTATTCACAGTAGATAAAATGTTAACGTCAGAAATATCCCGTATTTTTCGATACTATTTGATAATATCTGAGTATCACACGACTCCAAAAAAAATGAAATAAAAATATGAAATGGGGAAAAAATTGTATCATCGGGCCTATTCCAAGGAAAATAGGGCGGCCGACCTTACAGTACTGCAGGGGGAAAAAATAGTGATGTTTTCAGATCTAATTAAATACCTGTTATTGTGGCGTGAATATGAAACAAACAACATATTTTTACAACGTGTGTTTTTGGTGGATTAGTGAATAAAATGTTGTGGTGTAGGCAGTGCTTGGTGATGTTATGGTGCAGGTGCAGGTGCAGGTGTGTGTGTGTGTGTGTGTGTGTGTGTGTGTGTGTGTGTGTGTGTGTGTGTGTGTGTGTGTGTGTGTGTGTGTGTGTGTGTCCCCTCAACCATGCTACACCTTACAACTCCAAGCAACCACAATTCACAACTTTACCATCACCAATACACCAATACCCCACCAGTAAATTCATCACCAACACCCATTCATCATCACTACCCCCCATCACCACCAGTCGTCATCCCATCACCCCCATCACCACTAGCCATTACCCAACACCACCACAGTCCACCACCACAATGTTATGAGAGACACCCTACTAAATCTATGGCGTCCCATTTTAACTTGTGTCCCCCCGCCTGACTGCACCCAAAAAATGGTCTAAGTGCTATCTCTCCCACCCACTCTCACCCTCCTAAGTCACAACCGAGTGAGAGGAGCGTGATGGTCGAGGGAGAGCAGTATGGTTCCCTCTCCCCGCCAAATGAGAGCCCCGTGATGCTCCTCCCCGCCAAGTGAGAGCCCCGTGATGCTCCTCCCCGCCAAGTGAGAGCCCCGTGATGCTCCTCCCCGCCAAGTGAGAGCTCCGTGATGCTCCTCCCCGCCAAGTGAGAGCCTCGTGACGATTCTTTCCCCCCCTTCACACAGCCCAACAAGACCTCCTCCCACAACCGTGAATGATCCGCCATTAAATAATAAAAAAAATCACAGCTATTCTTGGTGCAGTCAGGGGGTGGTTGATCAGAAAACCCCCCCACCAACCCCAAAATGGTATCAAAATTGCACTGAAGCTCAACCATAAAAACGCTTAAAACCTTCTGCTGAGACACTATCATAGGCACTCAACAATTCTTACCTCCTACCAGCCTCAAGAATATACCAGTATTTTGCTCATCAATGGTAAATATTCCTCCATAAAGCTTGACTATTCTCAAAGGGTCTTAAAACTGGCCTTGGCTGACCTTACACGAGTCTAAGTGAGGCTTGGTGGTCAAGTGGGTTGGGTCATTAAATTGGTCACATCTGGCTATACTTGACCTTTAGAGAGCCGGTGGTGGTGTGAGTTTGACGGCCTGGGTGATCACCACGTCTTCTGGTAACCTTACCTGACCTTGCCTGAGTAATGGAGCAGTAATTAAGGTGCGGCTTTCTGGGTCATCGAGGAGCCTAATGCCAACCAAGACAGACTCCTCAAACACCAACTTATGTGTGTTCGACTTCCAATTAGAGACACGTCGAAGATCAACTTTCGTAGAGCCAGAGAGAGAGAGTGTGACGTGGGTAGTGGGTCGACCTGAGCTACGAGGATGATGTAACGCAAGACACGAGGAGCCCAGTCCGTCCAATGATGGCCCTCAACGCCTCACTCCCCGCCTCCTCACCACCAGGACACCTTGGGTCATCACCACCACCACTAGGCCATCACTGTACTACCCACACCAACTTAGTTCATCACCACTACAACTGGGGTCATCCTCCTACACCCTTCACGACAGAGATATAATGCAGTTGGATAAACAAGTAACGTCATCTTCTCTCGGCTTAAACCAAGAGTCTAGATTTTCACAACATTCACTTGATCAATAATCCTTCTCACTGATGGCGTAAGAACGAAGCTAATTGGAGGACTTAACGCCAATAAAAACAAATAACGTTCAACAGTAGCATCAATAGTCCCTTGAGACAACATTACATACATACGTACACTTGACACCCGACGTGATAAAAGATTTTCACCTCAATCTTGTCTGTTGCTATCTATCTATCTATCTATCTATCTATCTATCTATCTATCATGGACATGGGAGGGGGAGATGTACAGGAAGAAAGTGGACATGAGATTAGGGAGGGTAAGAGAATGTACACGACGAATACGTACACGCAGAAAGTGAGTATACACGAGGAGATGTACACGACTATTCGCTACCCAGGTAACCTCGTCCTCCAGGTCAACTAATTACACAGGTATCCACTATTAATAAGGACCAAAGTTGTGATCCCAGATTCAGCTGTCAACATCCTGTGAGTCAATCCTTTCAAGGGAGATTCGGGACCTAATGAATAACATTCCCAGGAGGAGGGGGGGGGGGGAGAGGGGAGAGGGGGAGGAGGGGGGAGAGGAGAGGGGGAGGAGGAGGAGGGGGAGGGAGAGGGGGAGGAGGGGAGGGGGAAAAGAATGAAGAAGAGGGATAGAGGAGGTGGAAGGGGAGGAAGGGGAAAAAATGTAGAAGAAATGGAGAGACAGAGGAGGAGGGGAGAAAGAGAAGGAAGATGAGGTGGGGAAGGGAGGCGGAGGAGGAAGAGCAGGGAAGAAAGAAAGAAGGAGAGGGGAGGAGTAAGAAGGAGAAGAGAGTGAGGAAGAAGAGATGGAGAGAGAGAGGAGGAGGAGGAAGGGAGGAAAAGAAGGAAAATGAGGGGAGGAGGAGGAGGAGGAAGAACATGGATGGGAGAAGGAAGGAGAGGGGAGGAAGGGTGGGAATGGAAGGAGGTATCGTTAAATAATAGTTAAATATAGGTCTCTCTCTCTGTAGACTTGAATAAACTACAAACATCATCTCCTAAGTCAACGTTCCTTTCATCTGCGTGTAACCCAAGACCTCTTAAGCTGTCTTTAGAGCTCTGGGTAAGCTTGGTGCTCTATTTTCACCACGGCTTACATCACGTAGAACGAAGCTAACTCATCCTGAAGCTAACTCATCCTGAAGTTATTACGAAGTTATCCTTTTTTGTTTAATGTTTATCAAAAATAGTTCATTATTTTTTGTGCGTATTTTTAAGATAATTCACAATCTCTTAAGTTGTTAGTCTATGATAACTCACTGTATCTTGCACGTAACTAAGATAACTCACTGTATCTTGCACGTAAATAAGAAAACTCACTGTATCTTGCACGTAACTAAGATAGCTC